AGTCCTCACATGGCATAAACCTATGGGCCCATTCCAAGCCGTTGTAGGCCTGGGCTAGGCCTGTGGATCTTCAGAGTAAGCCTATTTCCCATGTTAATGAAGAGAAAGACCTGCAAGTTGCTTTAGGCATCCCATGCTTACCAAATGTCCTGAACTGATAATGGAAAATGCATGTAAACCATTTTTTAGTATAAATCATTCATGCATACACATGAAAAAATAATAAAATGTCAGCCTTGGCCAGATTTATCCATGCTGTTATATGATGGTGATGATGATTATCAAGGCTTTATTTAGGGAGGGGGGTTCATGGGGTTCAAACCCCCCCCCGAAATATCTTCCTTAAATTTTTGCCATACTGCTATTCATCAGTGTAAATGGTGCAGTACTTGGTCTTTTCTATCTTTAATAGCTTTTGACTTATTAAGCACTGCAACTTATAGGAATATCCAGATATGTCAAAAAGACTTACAATGACAAGTATTAAAAAAAATAGCCATAGTGCATACACCAGACCTCATCCCCCCCCCTGAAATGAAATCCTAGATATGGCCCTGATGATTATCATTACAACATCACACAAGCATTGTAGAACTTCATCCAAATTTGGTCCCATACTGGCCCTGGCCCATTGGCTAAATATTAGTTATCAAGGAGATTTATTGGGTGTATGGCAAGGCAACATTTCTGACCAATCTTGTAGTCCTGTATTGTAGTGTTACTTGGCACGATCAAATGTATGGCATTGTATTATGCTTGGGTTAGGCATACAAAATAGGAAGAGAATCAGTGGGAAAAGCTGGTGCAATACTGGTTGTTTCTAAAAAGTTGGAAATTGAAAATATCGGTCTGTATGGCATTAGTGATGTAAATCAATTTTGTCCATGGTGTAGGGTGATTTCTTTCCATGAAAAGAGAATGAACCAAATTTAACCCTTTCATGGTCCAGTTTTTCTGAAACCTCCCTGGAGGATGACTGGTATTTCAGTGTGACCTTGAAATGGTTAAAGTATACTGCTTTGTGAAACTAAGCTATTTGTTCTTTAATGTTTGTACCATCCAAGAGCATACTGTCCCCACTTCCCATTGGAGAATAAATAATTACAAGCCCGCCATTTGTACCAAAGGTGAAGACAAAAAATATGTTGAAACAAAAGTTTTCCAGCTATACAAAAGTTAGGACTATAGGAGTTTTATTCTTATTTTTATTTTGAGAAATGATCCAAGAAAAGCCCTGGATGGAAGGTTCATTATTTATTATGCAAATATCAACATTGTAGGATTTTAGCTGGGCATTATTAGCAATTGTAATAGCCACTCGTTGAAGATTCTTGTCCAAGCTAGTGAGAGGAAAGTTTGTGTTCTGGTTTCACTCATTATTTTTCTTATTTAAAGTAGTTTTTGACTTTCTCATTAATGTTTTTCAGTGCTGAGAAGTAAACTATTCACAAAATTTACTGCTTCACCTGTCTGTATGACATGGAGATTGAAACATATAGTCCTTCAGAAACAAGTCAGGAATGGAGCACAACTTAGTGAGCAAGTAGTAATAGGAAATTGATTTTTTATAGATAGAATTTATTGTCGTCTTGGTGATGTAGCATTGCTTCACTCTGGTAATATGACAGACGCCTTACACAATAAGCTGCTACATTGCCAGCCAAACTCTCATTCAAGATGCTAGTCAGATGAGGGCTGACATAACACTGCCCAACAGTCTAATCTATCAGTCCATGGAATGAAAATAATTTTTTTTTTAATATTGACAGAATCACAAAATATTCAGTCCTGGAACTTTATTGCCATACCTCATATTTACCTGGAATCAGATCAGTTTAACTCCTAAACCGATGTGGTGCATGCCACCCTATGCATCATCCTAAGGGGTTTTTGCTGAAGGAGGAAAGAATGAATGGGAGACGTTTTATATCTCTTCCAGTCTTGGTGAAATAGTACAGGAGACGGAGAAGGAAGTTGCATAATCCAAAGTTTTTCTCCGAAAAATCGGAGAGGGAAGTTGCATAATCAGGTCGCATAATCCAAAAGTGAGTTAGAAGGGAACATGAGATGAATATTTTCAGGTACTCAGGTATACCTGGCGTTCTATGTGTAGGACAGCGGGTCGAGGTGCGCACAAAAAATTATCCATAAAGTTCACGTGTCAGTTATGTTGCTCAGAATTACCTTGCCAAATATAAAATGCCTGGTGTAATCATGTTGATGTCTGGTCAGATATTTCTGAATAACGTAACCGACGCATGAACCATTAGAGAATTTTCGTGCTCATCTCTGCACGCTGTCCTACGTATAAAACAAGTCAGACATGTCTGGGTTAACATACCCGCCTTTTCCATTCCCCTATTCTATTCCTTTGTGATGAAGTGTCTCGAACAGTATATGCACAGCAAATTATTTATTGGGCTGACTATCGTCCGTTCCCTTTCATCTGTGAGTGAACACGTGACTCTGATTCTTTTGTTGCTCTGTATTTGCACTAGGGTCGCTCTACACAACGTTGGCCAGCATTGGGGGGTGTAGCGATCGTCTCGCGATATCGTCTGCATATTGCTAACGACGGAATTTTTAGGGACGTAGAAATCGCTGTGGCCTGTTGGTGGAAAGCCGGTGATGATGTGATGCAGACCCCACCATTGCAGGTCTACGGGGCGTTTGGAAAGTCACTCCCTCTTTATCTGGCATTCCCATAGGTACTATGGGGAATTACCAGATATTGCGGCCGGTCTATCACTTTTTTTTATTTCCCCTTTTTTTTTATCATTCTGTCTGCCAGCAGTAACCATAGCAACCGGACTACACAACCCACTGCGCACGCACAGCTTTCCGCCTGGGTCAGGGTGCCCATCTTCCACGAAAACATCCACTTCCCTTCCAGCCCTGGCGGTTGACGGATCCGTAGTAAACAATGGAGGAGAGCGGCTACTCCGGCCGCGTAGACAGGGTTGCTAGGCGTACGCGTGAAATGCCGTATCTGGCATCCTGCACTTCATACTGTCCTCCCATCGCCACGCGGCGCTGACGCGCGGACCATCGAGAACATGTCTAGTTGTCCAGACCTTTTCATATAGGCCTACGCCGAACCGATGACAGCTATTATTTATTTCGAGGTTGGATGGTTAGGATGCGGTGAATATATATAAGAAATCCAGTGGTACAGATGCTAGGGGAATGTCAGATCTGTACCTGGGCTGGTACTCGCTAGTTTAACATAGTAATAACTTTTGTCATTTTTGGACTAGAACAATGGTTTTCGTTTCAAAGGAAAGAGAATTCGTTAGGGTTTTACGATTTCATTGGTTTATTTGTTTGTAGTAACCCTCCATGGTGTCAATATTGAATCTTTGACACCATGCGCAAGTAGCTGCACGGTATGAGGTGTAGAGGCGGAGAAGATGGAAAGTTGCATCCAAGACATTCTCCTTCCACCACCACCTCTGGACCATGACGAAGGACTATAGTTTGAGGTGTGGAGGTCTTCCGTCATGGTGCAGAGGTGATGGTGGAACGTGAATCGTCCGATGCTAGTTAGGGCTGGACGTACATGTACGTCCATCGGATCGAAAGTGATAAATGACCTGAGTTTGCTTGCTCTAGGTGTTCCTATTTCATTTGCCGGCAGTGTATATACATCTTATATGTATATACATACCGCATCAGAACCTGAAGCAATACGGTCTTGTCTTTAGAGTATTCATCTCTTGATTGAACTGCTGAGAAACTTCACACAACGCTCAACGTTTGATCTATCGTCTAGCAGCTCTCTCATCTAGTGAAACAAGCATTGCTTTTTCCTTTGTAACTTGAGTTTTTTTAAAAGCAATAGTCAGTATCCTGAACCATTGTGTAACGGCATCTCCTGCCTCCTGGAGGATTTTCATAAAAGCGGATTAACACCTGTTTACTGGACTCGATCGAATGAGGCCTTATGTTATTACTCATCTATGGAGGAAGGCACCAAGCGAAATATGCAGAAGTTTCAGGATGGGGAATGTTTGGAAAGAGCCATAAAAAGGGGAACATAGGTTGACTAGCACCTCGGGTTATGTTTCGATTACAGCCTTTCTTAGGATAGCGCTTTCCTGGGATTTAGGTCAGGCGAACATCATCAATCCCATTTATCATAATCCGCAGTACCACTCATCTGATGTACATCATTATCCTTTTAGCTGTTGACAGTCTACCGCCTGCACAAAGATTCAGGATATCGACTATACTTCTTCCTCTTCTTCCGCATAAAGTAACGATATCGAAGCCGCAAATAGAATGCATTCTTGCGCTAGCGGCAGACTACTAACTTTTCTCCATCGTTCTTGGAGCAACAAAAATTGGCTAGCATGCGGCGAGCTACACGATTCACGAAAGCTGATCGAACTCAAGTAATTCCGTCAAACTTAGATATACTGCATGTCGCCCGCGGGATAATCTCAGTTATTTTATGGACGAGATCCACGAGTCCCTTCCCTCGAGACCTATAACATATAACGTAGCCGAAAGAGGCAGCGTGGCATTTTATATAGCCATGAGAGAAGGGTGTAAACCGTGCACGACGAATTACGAAATCGAACTTGCGGCAACAGCGGTTCCCAGACTTCTTTGAATCGCGACCCACTTGCTGACGAACAAAAAAGTTCGACCCACTGGAATCCAGAAAGAGGTATTTTCAAAGTAATTATGGCGTGAAGAAAACTGATCGACCTTTCCTGCAGGGCATGTTTATCCTGAGCGGATGGGAATATAGTGATTTTTTATACTGGGAAAATGTACGCGACCCACAGTTTGGGAACCGCTGCTTTTGAGTCCCTTCTCTGTACCCCTGTTCTAAGCGCGTGTGCGATATACCCTTTATAAGATGTAACTATTTTTTTTGGTGATGACTGCTGATGCATGTGAATACCAATTACCCATGGTGCTTTTGTTCTAGATACGTGGGTGATCCTTCTGTTGTTAGCTCATGGGATTCAATCTTCATCATGGAATCAGAAATGTTCCTGAGAGTGAGAGATCTTGAAGCACGTTTAACGCAATTAAGTAGTGATGTGGAGGCTCTCAGGAGGGAGAAGCTCTCGTTTGACAATTTGAACGGATCAGAGGTATGTCTCTATACGTCCTTTAACCGAGAGACATTCTCCATTCTCCGTGATTTCCTTAGAGAATGGATGGAAGGAAACTGTTATCGAAAGACAGAGGAAGGACCAGTGTCGCTTAACTGTGATTCACAACTACTTCTTACTCTAATGAAGTTCAAGCATGCATTCCTTGACGAAGATCTGGCTGTGAGGTTCCACATTAACCAGGAAGGAGTCAAGAGTGTGATTATCAGAACCCTGCAACACCTTCTTGATGTTTTACGTGACCTTGGTGTCTTGAATAACTTCGAAAATGAATTTTTGGAGAATGAAGAGGAAATTCCATGGAACAGTGTGGTGTTCCATGTCATAAACATGAAATCGCTTGATAAAGGTGTTTCACCCAAGTACCTTCGAGCTCTCTTAGTCATTGGTTCCAATGGATTCATCAGACACGTTACTAAGTGCTATTCTGTGGAATACGACTGTGAAAGCAGTATTTTTCCTCCCTTGGACAACTGTGATATAAGAGCTTTGGTGAAGCTCGGCCACAATCTCCATGTAGAAGAGCGTTATGTCAATGATCTAAAGGCAGTGATCTCAGAGCTCAGTCCGCTTGAAACATCTGTAATGGTGAAAGGAACTGGACCCCATTTAAAACACCTCAAACAGGTTATCCAAAGGCTGGAATCATTCAAAATATTGGACTGCCTTACAAGCGTTTTGCTTCCTCATGCAACTACCCTCCTGGAAGTTATTGCCTGTATGGTCAACATTGGAATCCTGCAAGATAAAGCAGGCCTGGTGAGTTTAAAAAGTCTGTGACTTAGAGTACTTGTTAAAAATTGCAAGAATTGCTTTCACGACAGAAGAGATGGATGATAAGAGGTTATTTATTTACCAATAATGTTCCCAGCCTATGCCTGAAAACCAATATTAGGACTCCCAACATGACTTGGTTCTCACTTATGGTTCAATCTATAAATGTATAAATTGAAAGAAAAAATGTTCACCTCCATCTGGGAAGTGTTAGTCAAAAAGTACCTAATTGTGGACATCATGTGAGATGTGACCATCACTAAGTTATCTTTACCAATGAATCATGGTGGAATACATCAGAGATTCCATTTTATCACCATTGATTGGCTCCCTAAATAGCATTTTTTATTTTCTATTGAGGTAATAAAACTAAGTCTTGTCTCTTTAAGGTGCTCCTGCTTGCAAAAAAATGTGAGCTTGGAGTGCTTTGATGAGGCAAAACCTCAGAGTAAACATGAGTCTCAGCAAATTTTGATAGCCATTTTCATAATTAATATACATCTATTATTTTGAATGTTAGCCAATATGTAAGTGAAAACCATGTGCCAATTTCAACTGAACATGAGTTGGCCACTGCTCTGCTCTTATCTAAAAAATCTGCTCTACTTTGTATTGTATAGACCCTTGATGAAAATCAAGGTTTAGGCTGAAACAGCCTACACCTTGATTTTCATCATGACTGAAGGGCATAGAAAAAGAGGTTCCAACTTCACCATGGACCTGTTTATTAGTGATGAATCCAGATGTTGCATTCACCTACATGATTATGTCTTTTTGGAAATTATCCCCCCCAATATGAAACAGGAATAACTATTTTGGTATTTCAAATGTACAATTCATAGAGGATGAGAGAAAGCCAATTTGACTTTTTATGTTTCCTTTTTTTCTTATTGGATAAAAAGTACCAGTAACTGAACTTTATTGGAAGGATATTTGTGTTCTTTATCCTAAAAGCCAACTGATATCATCCAATACAGGATCTGAGGAAATGTCTGGTTGGAGGAAAATCGCAAGCATCCAAAGGAGGTAAGATTCCAGATTTGCCAATGATTATCTGTAGAAAAATTGCTAGAAGAACCAACTTGTGTTCAATTCCAGTAACTGCCGTCAGGTCTGATGGTATTGCGCCAATGGGAAAAATCCACTTTATTTACTTTGGGATGGGGAGTGTCAATTCAGCTTAGTTAGTATTTGGAATTCAAGAGCAATTTTTGGTGCGAAAATAACTGGCATTGATCATAAAACCTGGAAAACCAAATAGCATGACAGCTTAATCTTTCATCTCCTGAGTGCATTCCAGCTGAAATTGAACCAAAATCATGTTTTATTCTCCCTGATTCCATTAGCCATCTCGAACAGTTTCTCCCATAAACTGAACCTAATGTAATTTGAAGCTGTTAAGGGTAACATACACAGTTTTCTGATTGAATTCGTACCACCCCCCCTATAGTGGAGAACAGAGAACACGCAAATTTCAGAAGAAATCGTTTTGGAGGTGATAGACGTAACCATGGAAGATGTCACTGGCTGTAACGATGGAAGCGCTCCTATTGGGGGAGGGGGGGGGGGGGGGGGGGGGGGGCTCGAAAAAGGTTCGTCGATGAGGCCTTCAAATCCCGCCCATTTCACAGAGTCTTCTCTGACCCCTTTGTCATTCGGGATCTCCTTCATTCTCACTGTGAGGAAGCTCGAGTGAAGACGTCACAGGCAGCCATGCGGATTGGCTCGAAAACAGTGTAGTGTGTTCTTATCAATAAAGGGTAGCCTTTATAGTTCAAATATAATTTATATATAGTAATCATTCTATGTTTATTAATTTAAAAATAATTATAGTTAGTGGTTTCATACAAGTATTTGAATGTGTTCGTTTAAAATAAATGCTGTATCGATGCATCGACAACCACCGTTATCGGCCACCTACATGGTGCCATCGGCAGATTTTACCAGTTGCCGATGCCCATGCCCAAGAAGAACGCTCCAAACAGAGAAAAAGAAAAAAAAAGTCGTGAACGCGGCTCGGTAAATGATTAACAGCAACAGGAAAAATGTAGGGCTATCACGATGCCTTGATCGATGTATTGATATCACTATCGATAGTAGGAGGCATTATCCATGACAATGGTCACACCTTACCCTGATCACGGACGATAAATGACCCGAGAAATGAAAAGTGGGAAAAAGGTCCATGCCTCGATGGAATGCAGAAACGACGGAAGTTCAACTTCCTTCAGATTGCGACGAGAGATGACTAAATCCGCTGACATCACGCACGTCCTCCCTCGTGATGCATCGATAGTTAACCCTTCCATGGCTGAAATAATAACACGAATAACTAGGAAAAATTGTCTAAATTTCTCTTCACGGCCTTGCTTTTGATCCAGCCTGAATAACAGTCTGTTTGAACGAACGATGTATCCGCAAATAACCCTCGTCGAGAGCTATCAAACGGTGCAATTTAAAACCGGTTTTTCAGATATGGTAACGCAAGAGCAGTCACAAAAGATATGATCCTTCATATCCATCATACACCATGAAAGGGTTAAGGTCGATACACGGACTTTGAACAACCATAGTGACCACCCTTAACCTTTCCTTAGTCGCGTGGTTTTACACCCATTAGTATTCGTGGGGGTTGGAAATAAAATACTCCACACCACTACCGCTGGGTTAGAGAAAGTAGAACACGACTTCCTATAGGCCTGCTTGAATAGATATTTGATATAAGGGCCCTTCGTTCGTTACGTGTCATAATCGGCACTAGCCGATGCGCATGATGTCATGATCGGCCGCCGGTGCATCGAACCAAAGTGAAAGTGGCCGCCGGTACAGCCATATTTTAACCCTTTAACAGGGCTGGGGCGCCTAACCCCACCCGAGCGATACCGGGGAGAAACTTATTACCTCCAAGGGGGCGCCAGGGGGGTGGGCTGCCCCGGTGAAATACGTCACTGAGTATGACCTTACAAATTATGCGAAAAAATGCGGGACTCCTGAGCCCCGTCAGGCATGATAGGGTTAAAGACGTTTAGCATTTTTGTTTTGCATTTAAAGCACTACTTACATTATACTTCATATTTAAAATACTCAGCGCTAGTATTTTTCATTTTGATGTGATGAAAGTAAACATTTTTGAAGTGTTTTTTTTTTATCAATGCGTGCAAATACAAAATACTTGTCTTGGAGAATTTAGCTACAAATGATAACTTAGTTGTAGAATTAATTATGAAGAAAATGCAAAATAAAAAATTCTAGAAGTGCTTATAATTTTTATTGCAATAGTTTGTATTTAAAATGCTTCCAATACTGATAATCAGAAAAAATGTTATATTGTTTCCTGTCAATCTTGCATTAAAAAAAAGAAACTGAGCTGTTATTCTCTTGGGAAGGTGTAGGCCAAGGCTACTCAACTTTATCAGCTTTTAGGGCCACATTTTCAATTGCACATTGCATTGTGTGCAGCATACCATAAGGGGAGAATGCTAAGGGGATGACTGGAAACCATGATCATTTAAAATTTTTCAAGTAACTCACATTGACAACTGGTTAACCACCCAGAAACTTCTCAAGTCATTCGTGGTCGGCAGACCACTTGTTGAATAGCCTTTTCCTAAACCTAAATGAATTGATCCACTTGGATTGAGCTTCTTATATTTCTTAAGGCAATCAAGCTTATTGAATATATATTGTAGGCAAGGCCTGGATTATAATTTTGAATGTATTGGCTAAAAATGATTGTAAAAGTTGTCCATTTTGTCAATGTGCTTTACTGTACAGGACCACTTCCTTTGTTTTGCAATCTTGCATGCACCAAGTTCCTGTTTGTTCCTTGCATGTTCCTGTTTCATTCAGGTTGAAATTTTAAAGCTGGAAATCTGGATCTTCCCATATAGTTCAGTGTTTACCGATGGAGCAACTGATTAATCAAGATTCCACCGCAATTCTAGCTGCTAAAGTGAACCATGCAGATGACTTTTCTTCTCTTCCTGTGAGTACCTGCCTATTCTTGTGACTTTATTTTTAGGCCTTCAATGGTCACATATGTGAATGAACTTAATTGGATAGTGTAGGTCTGTGTGTTGTTACACACCATTGCAGACAAGGTTTGCCATAGAACCAGTAGCCCATATTAGTAAATCATCAATCATGAAAGCAATAAATGTGCTGAATGTGAACATTTCTAAAATTAATATATTTGAAGGAATGTCCTTATACAAAGTGTCATATATATAGACATAATTCAGAACCCTAGATAGAGAATGAAAATTGGTTTTGTGCCCATGAGTAGGAATATTCTTTAAGTAAAATTGGTTCAAGGGTAAAATATTTCTAACTTAGCATAAATCTTGTTCTGGTGAAATGGGTGTGAAACTCATTTCTCAATGGATATCTAGGTTAGGGAATTGTGAAAGGCTGAAGAACATTTCAAGGTCAAGTTATTGATTGGCTTAAGTCATGCACATCTATGGCTAAGAAGAGAGTACTTTTTTTCTCTAAGTGATTTTACCCAATTTCTTACCCATTGACAGGGAATCTTAGCAGGAGTAAAATTGCTGAGGAAATTCTGATCTTCTAGATTTTTGGGGTTCACTGTCCTTTCACTCCTAATTAATAGACTGTCCTGTCCACAACTCCTAATTATAGATTGCCTCTGATGGATCAGAAGCATTCTAAATAAGAAAAAATCATAAAGCAAAGGAGCTCTTTGATTTTTTCTGGCTGAAAATATTTGATGTTCTCTCATTTTTTTAACTCTGCAGGTGGTATTTCTTCTTCATATTTTGATTGCTTACTGATTTATGACCCAGCACATATGTGTGTTTTTTTTTATTTATCACATTGGACTTGTTGCAGGTGTTCCAGGATAAAATGGGAAATTATAACTTTACTCTCCCATTTATACCTCTTTCCCTTTTGAGATTCACACTGAGCTGTCAAAAAGAACTTACAATTTACACATTTGACTCAGGTGTATGAAGAGATACATGCCTATGCTGCATGTCTCAGAATCATTGAAAGAATTTTTATTTTTATTTTTAGATGCATCAACAATTTCTTACAAAACTCTCATCAGGGAAATGGAAAATTATGTCATTTGAAATTTGATGTAGTCCTGTTTATTTATTTTTGCTTAATTTTTTGGAACTTTCCAGAATTCCAGTAAAAGTCTACAAGGAAGAAAGGAATCTCTCTCCTGTGATCAGTCCCGCACTGGCCACATTTGTCCTCACTGCAACAAGTTGTTTGCCAAGAAGGATACATTGATGGTGCACATCCGTTCCATTCATACTGGTAAGCAAGAATCTCAAGAGTATCTCACAATTTAATCTGATCCTATGTGGACAGAGTTCTAAGACTGTACTTATATTTATATATAAACTGAATGAAACAGGATTCTCAAGAAGGTGCATGTAAGCAATTATAAATTTTTTTCGAGTAACCAATATATTGGAACTAGGAGTTTTCTGGAGAAAATTTAAAATTTCTCATAGTATCCTGCATTCAGTTCACATTATAGTCCTTTCTAGCCTGTCAGTTCCATTCCATGCTCCATCAGATGACAAAGATGTAGATTCATGGCACAAAATGAATAATTTGGGTTTTGAACTGCACTTTTTTCTTGTCTACCTTGTTCTTGACTTGGTTTGATTTTGTCATTAATTCTGTGGACAGGCCCAACAAGTTATTGATTTGCTATAGCCCATTTTTATTCTCCATCATTGCTTTATTAATGCAAAAGTTTTCATTTACCAGGATGTCTACATGTACCAGGTAAAATCTGGTTGACCCCTGCTGAATTTTATGGAGAAAATATAGGCATAACTATATAATAATAAATTTATTTGAGCTTTACACAATTATCAAATGTTTTACATTTGTTACTTCTGTCCCATTTCCTATGTACAGCTTGTCAGAAGCTGTATATAAACATATATGGAGGACCTCTTACTTTAAGGTAATGTGAGTTCAACTTTGAGAGGTTGGATATGAAAAATGATTTTCTACCTTTTTTTTTGCTGATTTTTATTGTTACAATTCTGGGTTTTTCACACAGCTACATGAGTGTCCTGAACAATATTGGCTTTGTTACAGGTTAGTAGAATTATGTGGAGATTGCTAGTTATCTGATTTTGAAGTTTCTGAATGTGACTACAATTGCAAGCCCAGAGGGGGAAAGTCCAACTTTGTGACAGTTGCAATGTGTGTCACTTTGGTTTTATTACTCCTTAACATTCCCAACCATTTTATTGAGATGTTTCATACTCATTCCTCCTGAGACTTCCTGTGAGCTTTAGATCATCGGAACTTGCTTTGAAGTATTCCCCCTAGTATGTCCACATTCTGATCAACAACTTTCTGTTTATATCATGAATTCACTCTCTATCTAAACCCTTTAATGTTGCTATCTTTTGAAGGCTTGGGATAACTGCTGGCTCGATAGAGAAGTAAAAAAAAAATGTCAATAAAACCTTTAAACTCAGTTAAAGAAGACTTCAGATATCAATGATTATGTAAAGGTTTTTAAAAGGTAATTCCTCTTTGAAGCTTCAGCACACTTTATAACTCTGATATTGGATTACTCTGTCTCTTTATTAGGTGAGAGACCCTTCCATTGCCCCCATTGCACAAAAACCTTTGCTGCAAGAAGCAAGCTCAATGTCCATTTGCAAGATCATGATGACAAGAACCACATTTGCCCTGAATGTGGGAAAATTTTCAGGCGCTGGGACCTTCTAGAGAAGCATTTAAAGACACATTCCCAAGAAAAGCCTTTCAAGTGTCCTACATGTCCCAAGGCTTTCAACATGAGGAAGAAACTCACTGATCACTTGAAGGTTGGTCTTTTGTGCAACCTTGTAAAATTGGGCTAGTAAAAGGAAAACTGTGGATAAGTTGATCTTTAATTCTATGTTCTCTTGTCTTTCACAGAATGACCAGAGGGAAGAAAGTTCATTTCTGCTACACTATAAGAAAGCTGCAGTTTTTCAAAGTACATGGTGTAATGCATATCCAGGTTCATATGAAAGCTGCAATGTTGAAAGACCCTAACTTACACAGAAAAGAAGCGCAGTCATAGAATAGAGAAGATGACAAAAAATTATTATTCCTTTACTGTTAAATTAATTTTGTTCATAAGAACCCTGTCAAAAGACTCTGAGGCTGTCCCAAAAGGTGTGGCTCTCTGTTGTGTTCCTGCCATTTGTTCTAGGAATTTTCAGCTCCTTCATTGCTTAGTCCTGGAATTTTTTATGTTTGGAAGCTTTTTTTAAATATTTTAATCCACAGGAATGCTTCACAGGATTATCAATCTGTTGTAAATAGTATTTAAAATGATAGGCCAAGTTTCATGTTCTCACAGTTAAGGCCCAGTTTCACCTACCTTTTTATTTTTAGATGATATAAGTTTAAGAGTTGTAGTATATATGTGCATGTGAATGGTGCCATTCATTTAGCTTTGTAAATGGATTTTGTTGTCATATGATTAATTATTGAACCTCAGCTTTAAGATCTGGAGGCATAGAATATGACAACTTGACTAAAGGAAGGGGATATAACCATAACTGTAAGCCAATGGCTGGAAATATTTCAACCTGGGATTCCTTTTTCCAGCTGACTTTTGCATATTTTATGTTCTGGTGTAGTTGAGGTGCTGAAAAGTGAATGAGCAGTCTTGTTTTCATCTAAAGGATTTGTTAAAGGATGGAATGGAAAAAGATGGTTATTTCATGAAATTCTTCCAGTTGATCATATTGTAGGCCTCTGTGGAAAATTTTTTCACTGATTCAATCAAGATGTTTAATTTTTAATTTGTAGACTCCCTAATAATTGGTAGTGCTAGAGAGCACAGACATTCACATCTTGGGTAATGTGATGGTAATTCAGAGAGCATTTATTTAATGTAACTAGTGATGTGAAAACAGTGATTCTTTAAGATGCTCTCAGATGAAGGAAGGAACATGTTGATTGTGGAAGAATGCAAAAAAAATTTTTTTTTTTTGAAGTACGGGACTCAAAGCCTTATGCCAAATGGACTGCAGAGAAAATAAGGAAAAAATTTAGTCCTGAATGCACATACCTAATTTAGGAAGCCTTTAAACTAAAGAGCTTTTTCCCCCCTATGTGAGTCCATGTATTCTTGATGGACTATTAACTAAATGAGGTTTCAGCATTCAGACTTAGGCTTTGCTCATTTCATACTCATCCATTACCTCAATAGAAAATCTCCAAATGTTCTTTATGTTAAGTGGTGCCTTTTATAATCCTTGTCCATTATAGAACCATTAACCCATTCACATCCAATGGCATACTAGTATGTAGAATTTCACCAATCATGTATTGGAAACCATTGGAAATAGGTGGGTTACTGTAGGTAACTTTTCATCAAAATATTATACGAGACGACAAAGACCAACCCATTAATTTCCAAAGGTGTACTAGTATTTCATTGGATGTGAATGAGTTAATGAATGCAATGCATGTAAGTTCTTCACATATGGCAAATGCAAACATTATATCTTTGCCATTTTTTTTCTCAGTCTCCTTCTGTAAACTATGCTAAAATAATATTTTTATGATTGTTCATACAAGGTTCATGAAAAGAGACATTCAGCTGGTGGTGAACACAGTTCATGGCTGAGGCAAGAACGGAAGTCTCCAAAGAGACATAAGGTTGAAGGTCTCTATGCTTGCCCAATGAAAAAGTGCAAGGTTGGGTTTCCTGACATGGCACTGCTTCAGAAACACTTCAGAGCTCACATCAAAGGAAGATCATACATGTGTGAAGAGTGTGGACTTCTTGTCACATCTCAATTCACATTGCAAGTCAGTTTTTTCCTTTTACAGTTCTTATATTTAATATAGCTACTTCTCAGCTTATTACATTCCTAAATTTAATTTTGCTAATGTAGTTGCTTTGAAAATATCTTTTATGTTTTTCCTATCTGAAAAAATACACTTATGAATACACTTATGAATACACAAAAAATACACTTGGCTTGACTTTTTATTCATATGTTTTAATTAAATGCAATGTATTGGGTTGCAGGACATGTTTGTTGATAAAAACATTTGGTTTACCCTTGTTTTATATTGAAATGCCTTCTGTTTTTTCATAATTAAGGACAAAATCTTTCCATTGCATGCCAAGTAGCAGAAGTGGAAGTTTCCACAGGATTTCTTAGCAACTGCTCCCAGTATCCAGTGGTTACCCTAAAATAAGACTTGTACAGGGTGTTACAAAAGTCACTTCCACTGTTCAGATGACAGCCTCCATGAAACGGATAGACATAACATTGAGAAATTTGGTGTGTAAACCAATTTGACCATGCCGAAGAAAACATACACAGTCATGTGGTGGTTTATGATGGCATTATGGTCACTCTAAGGGGTACCTATGGTCCACAAATGGCACATGTTTTTATTATGGCTGTACTGATGTATTGGATAACACCGGTATTGGCCGCCGGTGTTGCACTATTAGCCTATGACATTGGTGCTGGTGCCTGTGCCCAAAGGATGGGTAAAGTAAGAAATAATTAGGTGAGAGTGTTCATGTGCCTTGGCACTGGCCCTCCTGTCTCACTGAAAGCCACTCTTGCCAGCCTCTCCCAGGCAAAAATATAAATAGGATTATGTCACAGCCGTATTATAGGAACCAGCAGAGGAAGGTGGCAGTAAAGAATGGGAAATCATTGCATCTCCATTGACTTTATGCTTTTGCAAGGGATGTGTCACTAAATGCAGCAATGGGTAGCAAGCTGACCACAGACAGAAGCATCGAGAGACAGACAGGCTGGACAGAACCAAAAGTGATCTCTATCTTTTCAAGGATGCCTACTGATAAGTATAACATTGGCTTCCAATAGGCTTATTTTAATTTATAGGTGATTTCTTCTACAGGCCATGATTGCCACCAGCACCAGCCAATAGTTATGTGGAAAAAATCACCCACCGGCCAAATGTTGCCACCAGTACAGCACTAGTTTTTATAATAGCTGTTTGATGTGCTTTCCTTCTGTAATAGTCATGTGCTCCAATTGTGATACATTCTAAACTGCTGCTTGAGGCATATCAGGGGGTACAGAGTGGACTTCCTGCTGTATGCTCTCCTTGAACTTGTGGCATATGGTGAGGCCATTGCAGTAAACATGGCTCTAGAGGTAACCACAAAACCAGAAGTCTGTTGGGGTGAGTTCTGCTCCATACCCCCTGGTATGCTTTTTTCAGAGCAGAGGATAAGCTACTTTTGAACTACCTTTTGCAAATTTTGGCCCAAGTTTCAAGTGCTAATGCACTGATCCTCTTAGTGAGAACTATGAACACTACAGATTGTTTTCTGCCTTTTGTAATTGCCCTCTCTGATTTTCTTTAAATGCATTTATATCTTGTCATACATTGCAGAGGCACCAAAAGGTTCATCGGTTAAAGAGTCTGAGTGTGGATGCAGTTTCAGAAGAAGTTTTGAAACCATTCCAATGTGACTATTGTTTGAGACGATATCAGACGAAGGAGAGCCTATATCATCATTCACGGCATCATCAAGGACCTCCTCAGTTCCAGTGCAATGTCTGCTTTAAAAATTTCTTCCGCTCTGACTCATTGTCAGCCCACAGGTTAGTAGTCTTTGATGTCCCAGGTCTTATCTTGTGGCAGATTGAGTTTGTAATTTTAGTTGAAAGTACTCTCATGGATATTGTTTTATATGATCCAAAACTGTGTGAAATCATTCCTTTTGACATATGCAATGAGGCAGCTTTATCATGGTGACCTAGCTTTTAGTTTCTCATTTTGTTCATTATTTTGGTAAGTCCAAGTAGGGGGGAAGGTGGGGGAATTCCAAGAGAGAGAATGTAAGAGTTGATTTTGACCTCAGATTAATTGAATTACTGAATATTTGCATGCAAGGCAGAAAGGAACCAACCTAAACTTTTATGAATCTACCTCTACAATCTCCTGCTTTCTGTTGAGACTGTGAAAAAAGTGGAATTTTTTATATTGGTCTTACCCTGGTGGCAGAGGATAATTCAGTCTGTTCCCCCCCCTCCTTGAAGTTTTTGCTGTAAAGATCTTTATTCAAGTGCATAAATAGGTCAGACCAATTGCTCTTGATTTCAATAGAAAATGTGTTGATTGAATTGTGACTTTTGACATTCCCTGTAGGCTGCTTCATGGTGGAAGGAAGTGTGAGATCCATCGCACTTGTGAGGCAGGCAAGGACAGAAAGGCAGGGAATCAAGTGTCTTGCTGCTTTTGCAGTGCATCCTATTCCTCTCATCATGACTTCCTTGTTCACATTCAAAAGTCCCACTGGGAGGAATTCCCTCTCCGCTGTGAGGCCTGCTGCCTTGGCTTTTGCAAGGTTGTCAATTACAAAGCCCATATTCGCACTCATCATTCAGGTCAGGATTCTCCCAGTTTAAGTAACATTGAGTATCTGAGTTGCAGCATAATATTGGAAGGACATATTGGAAGAACATGCAATTTGATAGGTCTAGTTGACTTGATGGGAGGTGCAGTTGCATGCTCACAATTTGTGAGGGATGGTAAGAATGTAACAGTAAAGGTGGCTTTATCAGGAAATGACAGCATGCATGTACTAACTCTGTAGAGTGCAAGATCAGAATGTAGGTCACTTCCCAGCATAGTCACCATGTGCAGCAATGCATTTTTATCACCACTATACCTATTTTAATATGCCCTGGTCTCATAACTCCCCCAATCTTTAACCATTAAAAAAATTCTTACTGACACTGTTTCATGGAACTTGAATGCTACAAAGGCCATTTAAAATTGTGAGATTTAATTCAAATTCTTTGTGCCAAGGTAAGGCCTTGGTAATAATATTTTGCAGGAATATATCTTAACCCAGGGAAAGCATAGAAAGTGAGTCTTGGGATGTGATATCCTGGGTTTATCCTTCTGCTTTTTATCTGGTCCCAGCAGTTCTTGTCTCATACAGTGTAGATTTTGCAGGATAAGTTTGAGTCTTGACATGTTTTCCAAAAGTCCTCCTATCTTCTTTACCTTCTCTTTCCTTCTCTTCCTTTAAGATTGGCAGCCAAAATCTTGCAGACATTACTTGATGTCTTTTAAGGCTGAGAGATTTTCCTTGAAAATTTCATTTGAAAATTTTCCAGGTCTAGCTGATGTAATTCATGCAGAATGCTATGGGAAGAGGGAGCCACTAGATACACACAAATCCCCCCCATCCCTTTACTTTTTCTCTTTTTTTTAAATACTATTTTTCATTTGATTGAATGATTTATTCTTGTCATCCTGTACTATGGTTTTAAACCATTAGTTGCTGTATGTGTCATGGATTCCTTTTTCAGGATCTAGCTCTGCCTTGGCTGCCAGCACTCTAGAGGCAGGTGTTGCATGTACCCCAGTGAGTCCTGCCAAAAATGTTGTCAAGGTGAGTCAGGATGAATTCCCCTTGGATGTGGGTGATGCAAGAGACATCCTCCTTCCTGACTACCAAGATGGTCAGGAGTTTCACATCTCTGGAACTCGAGAGAGCTTAATTACACCTGTCATGGAAGTGGAGCAGCAGTTCCACAACCATGAGATTGATGTTTATCTCAATGATGATGCTGTTTCTCCGAGTTGTGATTATATGCTCACACTTCCCAACCTCCTCCCATTTCTGATGGATGACATGGAAGAAAGATGTTGATGTGCTACACTTGCTAAATTATTTTTCTAGGAAATAAAGGAATATAATTTCTTGATATTTGTGCTGTTTGTGCCAACAAGCAGCAGTGACATTTTGTTCCTTGTTTTCTTTTGTGCTTCCTTTTCTATTCAGATGACTTCTAGTCTCTTTTGGCTTTTATGGCTCTTTGCAAAGAAAGATATTCTGCAAAACCTTCATTACCTTTTAGCAGAACTTCATATATTTAAGTGACTTCACACAGTTTCATTTTCTTACAGAATTAACTAAGACATGGAATGAGTTGCACTCTTTTCAATATATTGTTCCCAGGTAAAAAAGTTCCTTTGAATAAGCTGGACTGTCTTCATTAGACAGTTTTCCTCATTGACATGAGGAATAATGTAGCTCTAGATCATGGAAGAAGGATGTGATATTGATGTCTCATGTAATTGACAGATTAAGATTTTCTTTGAAAAGGTACATCAATCCCATTTGGCAAAGTTATGAAGACTGAAACATTATCTGAACCTTCATCATTAGTGTATTGTATCTCCAATGTACAAAGGGGCAGGCTGAGGTGCTGGATGGAATGAAATAGAAATGTGATGTTTCATGATGTGAAAAATATTCCATCACCTTCAGTAAAAGTTTACTTTTATCATTGTGGGAACATTTTCAGTATAAAATTGCTGGGTATGAGCCTTTTTTGGCTTTGGCCCTGTTTTGACATTTCTCTTCTCCCCCTACAAGTGTCAATTTCTGACTGACAGATTTGAATGGCAGGGATGCAGAAAGGATTGCGAGCTGCTCTCCAGTTGACTTCCCCACAGGGAAAGAAGCTGGCTAGAGTGGGACCCTCAATCCTGAATTCTGATCTGTCCAATCTGGCTGGAGAATGTGAACGCATCATGAACAGTGGAGCTGATTACCTCCACTTGGATGTCATGGATGGTCACTTTGTGCCCAACCTCACTTTTGGACATCCTATCATAAAGTGCCTCCGGCACAAGGTCAAGGAGGCTTTTTTTGACATGCACATGATGGTTGCCAACCCTGAGGCTGTGAGTTCCTCCATTCCAGCATAGGAATGTCACTCTATAGGCTTTTGTACTTGAATTTGCACTTAAAGACATTTGTTGTGTTGAGTATCATTGCTTGCTTTCCTCTTGTCACATCCTGCTGGCATTTCATGAAAATGAAAATAAAACCCCTTCAATTGCATAGGGTTGCAAGAGAGGAATGTGCCCATGAGTTCCCTGTTTGCTTTGAAGGTATTGATTTTTCAAAGTGTAAAAGGTCCAAAGCCTATAACACATTCCTTATGATGTGCAGCACATCTTGATATTTTGAAAACAAAAATGAATTTCAACTTCCCACGATCCCAGCTTTACATTCATCCATGTGGGAAATTTTGTGGCTGTACTGTGAAGAAATATGAAAGATAGGAAAGAATTAAATTATTCATATGCATCAAAGCTAAATCTAACTGCTCCTAAAGTGATATGAAAATGAACTCTTTCTGCCTGGATAGAAGGTCCCAGTTGCACCTATTTTATGTTATGAATATTTGATTTGGACTTTTCTCACATTTGCTCATGTGCAGTGGGTGGAACCAGTGGCTGATGCTGGTGGGGATCAATATATCTTCCACCTTGAAGCAACATCTGACCCAAAGACTTTGTGTCGAAAAATTAGAGAGGCTGGCATGAAGGTGAGTGTTGGCAGGATGCTTTTCATTGGAGTAAATGAACAAGTTCTTAAAATTGTGTTCATTCTTGAAAATTCACCTAGATATTTTATAGCTTGAAATAATCCTTATATCTTCTCTTTCCCTTTATTTCTTTCCAGGCAGGGATAGGAATCAAGCCGAAAACTCCAATTGAAGCAGTGGTGCCACATGTTCCCCATGCAGATGTCATTTTGATCATGACTGTAGAACCAGGATTTGGCGGGCAGAAGTTCATGGCTGACATGATGCCCAAAGTGGAATTCCTGAGGAAGACCTTCCCTGAGTTGGACATAGAAGTTGATGGTGGAGTTGGGTTGGACTCTGTGCAGACCTGTGCTCAGGTGAGATTTTGTTTCTTTTCCCCCACCCCCCTCTCACCCCACAATCCTCTGCATCAGCCAAAATTAATGATGATGTGAAGGATCAAAGAACAATGATCAAATCTGATGTTATTAATGACTTAACTTCTACTCTGCTGAAAGACATGAGATACAGGCCTGATGCATCTTCTACAGAAGTATATGTGGTCCTGCATCAGACAAAAACCATAGTCAAACTCAGGGGCTTTACTTGACTCTTGTTTTTTAGGCTGGAGCAAACATGATTGTGTCAGGGACAGCTGTGACAGGTAGCAGTGAGCCTCAAGTCGTCATTGCTGAACTTCGTCGGACTGCTCAGGAGCTTCTGGACAAGCACACATGATATCAGTTATACTTGATCCCCTATGCTGTGCTAATTTTGCTTTTTAAATTTTTGGTTCATGCTGGGGAGGGTATCCATGCTCTTTCCTGTGAAGCACATTTGTGCTACTCCTGTCACTCCCTTCCTGCAGGAAATGTTTTGGGCTATTTATTTTTATATTTGGATAATATAGTATTTTGAGAGATGTGTTATAGTTGTTCCTGAAGTGCAAGAAGTTATCTTAATCCTCACAAATCAAAGCTAAAGTAAAGTGAGTACATTACTGCAGCAGTTTTGTATGGAAATTGGGATGTTCTTGTCTTTGTTTCAAATCTAGGAGTGAGTTTACTCGTTTCCCAGGAGGTATATCTTAGTGTAGTTGGCAACATACATCTGCTGCTCTAACTTCAAGTCATGAAAATATCCTGCAGCTCCCATTGACACATTACTCCTCTTTTTAACGCCTCTCAAGGCCCAAATTATTGGTGAACTTGGGCAGTAGAAGTGCACGCAGGGAAGTCTTTGCTTGGTGCCATTGTTGAGGCAAACGGATTATATACTTAGCTATCATTTGGGAAATCCTTCTGGTGGATAGAATTTGTTGAATATTATATATCCTTTGGAGAAGTGACTCATTGCTTCAAAAGGGCATACAATTTAGAACCTAGAAGTACCAATCCCACCTTTTTTTGCATGCTTCTTTTGAAGGACTCAAGTAATTGAAATGTATATGGTCACCCTATCAAAAAGTTACATTTTTGCACTTGGAAGGCCTGTACCTTGGAAAATTCAAGTGCAAGGGAATAATTGAGCTGGGAAATGGCTCCAAACATTTTGCTTGACATAATTTACAATTAAAGTATCAATGCCTACCTAAAAGGGATACGTGCATCTGCAACTTTCCGCCCCAGCAAAAAATCTGATCCTGGGATCATGCATTATGCATGATGTGACTGAAACTGCCAGTCTGTAAACCAGGTATATTACCTCATTTAAGTATTGGTTGATGATCTAGTGATAAGTATTAGAGGGCATCTAGGTTATGCACAATAAGTGAACAAGATTTCACATTGTTCCTGTAATGTGCCTTCTCTAAAAGCTGCCTAACAGATTATTTTCTTTATTACAGTTGAGAAGAGGCACCCTGTAATTGAAAATTTACCCATTCGCTTCTTGTTTCAGATTCACATGGACCATTTCCAAAATGGCCGTCCAAGGTTCTGGTGCTCCTCAGAGCCTAGAATATGAAAAGCAAGACTTAGATTTCATCCAGTCGTGTATTGATGAAATTGCCTTGGAGGGCCTCGATGGCATTACAATTGCAGGACTGTGGACTAGGCTGGAAAGGAGACAAAACTTTCCTCTACGCCTTGATGATTTTTCCAAGCCATTCCTTTGGAATATATTGAAGAGGAGAAAGGAGGTGTCATGCTACTGTCTCCCTGAGCCAAGGCCCCCACTTGTTGTGAAGCCGAGAGAGCTGGACCCAGAAACCGGAATCATGTCGGATTATGCTGATGGGATGGACATCTATCCGGTATTTGTCATCAATGATGAAGAACACGGGGTCCAAGGATCGTGTACAGCATACTTCAGCCGCTCCGAGGTCACATCGGATGCCCAACGTACGACTTTGGATGAGGCTATGAAGAAATGGGGTGACAAGTTGGTTATGGTGGGAACGCAAGAAGCTCGAAACAAGGCCCTGACAGGCTCCCACCCTGTCGTCGTCGACCTCACCCCTATTCAGTACGTCATGCTGGAACGGATCGGACGTAGTCGACACTTGGGTGAAACAACTCATGGGAAGTTTGGCTTGATTTCAGTAATTCAGGAAAATCCACGCACTCTGTTTTACTTGAGGAAAGCTCTTCTCAAGCATCGACTAATAGCAAAGCAGGACTTTATGCTCAAAACTACTTCAGGACACTGTCAGTTTGGACTTCTCTTGCATCTGCCACGATTTTTCGTTGAGTTTTTGCCGAAATCCCTGTATGTCATCCGGCAGGTCACGAAAATGCTTGAAGAGGCCCCTAAGAATGTTCTCCCTGCTGATTCTGCCTTAGAGCAGTTGCAGGTTCCTGCGAATTCCATGCGAAAAATTTTCAAAATGAATGAATTCAAACGCCTAATCAAAATTGAGAATGTGCCATATCGGACAATACATCCTGATGCAAAACCAGAAGAGTATCTCACGAAGAATCGCAACGAAAGGTCCGTGAAAGTGTATCGCTTGATTCCCAAGTCGGAAAGGAAAAGAGGAGAGAAGGATAACGATGAAGAGGGTGATGAGGAGGATGACGACGATGGCGAGTACGGAATTCATGACAAAAGTCGATACGTCCTGAATCGCCATTTGGTCGACCAAGTTTTCAACTACATCTTAGAATGTGGACCGAGTGGAGCGTCTCTTCGGCAGGTACAGACTGATATGGGTCTTGGGAAACTGGATGCCCGTACTGTAGTGAGGAAGCTCCAGAAGCGAAACGAACTCTTCATGATTTCCGTTGACCAAGGTCGACAGAGGAGCTTTAAGTACATCGCCAAGGTATATGAGGACGCATCAGAAGAAGCCCGTAAAAGTGCCGAAGAAAGACGCCTTCTCGTTGAAAACTTGAGGAAACAAGCTTTGGAGCGGGCACAGGTTCTCCAGGACAGGGTGTCTTCGTGTGGCACCTCATCTCTAGGCCAAAAAAACCTCCAAGAGGAAGAAGACAAGCAGATCTCTGAAATTACTAGTAAGGACACAGTAACGCTGAAAACACTGAAACGCACTAACCTCATTCTGAGGTTGGTTGAAGAGAAGCAGATCGTCCCAATGATCCAGTTGGAGCGAGCCGTCATAGCAGAGGAGAAGAATGAAGGATCCAAAGAACGTATGGCGCGGCTCTCGTTGTTACGTCTCCTGAGGCGCCTGGAATCGCAGCAACGAATCCGTTGCCTCAAGACCACCATTCACTACTCGGACAGAGACCGGGAAATCTTTCTCGTGTGTCATCCCAGCCTTCCGTCTGACCCCGTCGAGCTGCAGGAATTGATCCAGAAGGAAGAGAAGAATATTTTTGCTGGATTTTTTCGTGTGAATGCCGACCAACGTGTTAAGACAGAACCAGAAGTATCCCAAGAAGTGAAAGAGGCTTTGGCTGCAATCGAAACGCAGGAGAATGGCGATGAGAACTCTCCCAAAAGTGCAGAGGGCCCTGCCCGAACTTCATCTGCTGCAAGAGCGTACGGGCGGCAATATGGTATCGTGCCAAAGTTTCACCGGGCAAGACTACTCCATCAGTTTTGTTTCTACCTCACCCGGGGGTACGATGGGGATCCTGATCTGGATCAAGACAAAGCTTGGGAGAGCATCAAGGGAGAGTATGATATCGGAGGGAACGATTTGGAACTTTCTGACCTACCAAGACTGTATAATCCTCATGTTGGCTGGAAGATGTTCATCTCTCCATTGTCTGATGATGTCTACAAAGATGTCCCTCGTGGTTGGATCTTGCTGTGTGACATATTTATGCGATTGCCCGTGTGCCTTGCTGTGACCTCTGTGGCTGTCACCATCAAAGTTGACGGTCTGGAAGAGATTCTTCGTCACCCTATCAAGACCAATATTCCATTTTTGCTTCTCCCATCAGCGATTAAGCAGAAGATTCTTCAGGGACGCTTGTTTGTTACCCGTCTCGGTGAGGTAGTGAACTTGCTGGTACACCTGGGCTTGGCGCAAAATGGTCCAAGGCTGATGAAAACTTATGAGACTCAGTATATCTACATCAACACTCGTGCCAGCATCCGAGACACCCAAACTGCTTCTCCAGCCTACTCCAGGGTAGATGATTCAAAGTCGTACCCTCTTCTACCATTTCCATTCAATTCACTCGAGGATGTGGAAGGGTATTGGAAAACTCTGTCCAAAGTGTGCATCAACACTCCTCTGGGTCGCTATTCTCATGATGATGGGGATGCGGAGGTTCCGGTCAAAGTGCGCAACAAGCCGCAGCTTCGAGACGCTTTGAAGGAGAGATCTCTGGAAAAAGGACCATCTTTGGACATAGGCACCATCCCAGGTGATGGGCTCGGTGCAGGTGGATTGGATTCGTCGCTTTATTCTCACATCCAGCGGTCTTGGTTTTCGTTGCGGAAAGAAAGTGCTTCTGCAGGGAAGGAGAAATCTGTCCAAGAGAAGATGCAGCTTCCCTGGGGTGGCGAACAGTATTCTGAGATGGTGGCGAATTCGATGATAGACAAGAGCAAGTCTCAGTTGAAAGCCACGCATGCCAAAAGTTATGCGAGAAGGCTTTCCTTGACGTCTCAAGATAAAAATGGAAAGGATACTTTCAAGAAGGGGCAAAAGAGAAAAAGGGAAGATGAAACGGCTTACAATCCCGAGAAGGATCTACAGAATTGTGATTTAATCAAGGAGGAAACTGTGGTCAGTCAGGAGACAACGGATGGTAGCAAGGAGCAACACCAGGAGACAGCCGATGATGACATGGAGCAGCCTCCAAAGAAAGCAGCGAAGAGAACGGTCCCAGCCAGAATAAGGAAGCGTGAAACCCGCAAAAAGAAGACTCCATGTGCGCTGACAGACCAGGTAGACAAGGAAGCACTGATTCTTCTCGGCAAACAGAGGGCCAAATGGGGTGAAATAGAAGACAGATGGCTCATAGCCATCAAGGTGGTTCTTTCCTTCTTGTCTTCATTCGTCGATGAGGCCTTCAAATCCCGCCCATTTCACAGAGTCTTCTCTGACCCCTTTGTCATTCGGGATCTCCTTCATTCTCACTGTGAGGAAGCTCGAGTGAAGACGTCACAGGCAGCCATGCGCCGACTGAAGATGCTCAGCAAAATGGGAAACCATGATCAACTTATCCATGCCTCAAAGAATATGATGAAATTAGATCCTGATATCATCGCCAGATTCACCCCCGCGCAACATTTTGTGAATCTTCAAGAAGCAAGGGAGCACGTGAAGGGCCACGCTGAAGAATTAGTGCGTCTAATGAAGGACCGGATTTATCCTCCTCATGACGTCTGCACATTTACCCCGAAATTGCCTCCATCCTTGGAAGAAGTGAATGAATCCTTTGTCGTTTCCAATGTGCCTTTGTCCAGCACTCAGTCATTAATTCACGATGTTAACAACAAAGTGGACATTCACTTGCATAATGTTTGCAGTGTAGTACTCAGTTCACTGTGCAGTCGCCA